AGAGAGAGAGAGAGAGAGAGAGAGAGAGGAGGAGGAGGAGGAGGAAGAGGTGGAGCTCCGGTACGAGAAACAGCGGCGCTTTCGCCGGAAATTTGCGCGGTAGGGCAGAAGTTGTTCATTATTTGTGATTTTTTTTTGAATTTTGAAATGTACGGGTATATTATTGATTGTGGACTGTAGAATTGTGATTCATCGATTGGGGATCTCGATTGTAGTTGGAATTCTTCTGTGCCTGTGCTTGATGTTAGTAATGGAGTTTTATTTCAGCTCCGATGGCCTTTTGATGTGAAATTTGGGGCTAATCTGTTGTTTGTTTGACAGGATCGAAGGGTATGCGTGTACTGGACTGTGTTCGACGCTCAGCTCTGACCGTCGACCTATGGCGAGGTTAATTCTGGCTGTGCATGTGTTGTATTTGTTTGAATTGCTTGTGGAATTTTGTTGACTGAATGCCATGTAAATTCTCCTGGTCATTTGATTTGGTTTGAGTTGTGTTAATTTGGCTGTGGTTTTGAATATATAGTGTTTGATTGTGTGTGTGTGTGTGTGTGTGTGTGTTTGTTTTTTCATGTTGATTTGCAACGGTTGTGACTTCAATAGTTCTCAAATATGTGTGAAAATTTTCTCTAATTTTCAAATTATAGATGAGATTGGTGACAACTTATAAGTTCTAGATTGCAAGAATTAAGCTCCACGTTTTTGTTTTCCAACTGTTGTAAGCCATCATGTTATCAATGTTTCCGGACTAGGCCATACAATGACACGGGTTGACACCTGGACATAGGTTAGCTGTTGGATCATTATTTCAACAGCTGAAAGTTCTAAAAATTTGAAATCATATCTCTACTTAAGTAATAAATAATCAATACATAGAAATAATTCTAATAATGTTATATTATAATTAAAACTTGGACTAGGTTTGTCTCCTAATCAACTCGCCGGGTTTGGTTCTTTAGTTGCATGCTTTATAGTTTTTATCATTATTTTTTTTCTGTCATGTAGTCAAATATATGGCGTATTCTCATTTACGGACAACTTGTTTGAAACAGTACACATCATCACTTGCCCGTGATATCATTTGATATTATTCATAAAGGCAACATTTTATCTTAAATGATTATGTAATAATGCTTCATAGATCTTACTATGTGCATTCTTATACTTCTAATGTTTTCCTCGCCACTAGGATGGTTCAGCAATAAAGAAAGTGTTGCATCTTGATCTTGTTAACTTTTGTCCGTTTTCATCAAGATACAATATATTGAAAATCATGCAATTGAGCTTTGATTGTTTGGTAATTTTTCAGGGAGTCACTCGCTTAGGACTTGATCTCGTGGTGCGGCCTGGTGACCCAGTGAAATATTTTCTCAAGCTGAGGGTTGATGTGACACATTTTGGAGCAAAATCAGTTAATCTGGTTGAAAGTACATGTTGAGAATCAGTGATTTTAGTCACATGTTCTGTTATATTGGTAAAATAAACTGCCCTAAGTGTTGTGTATTTCTACTTACTGAGTTCTTTCATAGCCATACTCTTTTTAATGTGTATTAATTTTACATACGACTAATGCTTATAGGCAATAAAACTTGAATCTGTGTATTTTTTAGAAATTGATAATAGTAATTACGTTTTAACTTTCTTTAATTGGTTTCACCCTTTTCAGTTCCAGGATAATTGTTTGTCTTTGACGATGACTAAAATTTAGCTATTGTTGCCATTGCTTTTATAAACAGCAAGTATATCTGTACTAAATATTGATTGGGTATAAGTTATTCATACCCAGCCCTTTTGGTTGAGCTGTCGTGGCTCTCAATTATTAGCAGCGACATGTTGTCGCAAGTTGTGATTTCGAGTCCTGTTCCTGGAGTTCTTATAATTGTCCGGGAAGATGCCATTTTCTTTTCATTAAACATAGATGTGTTGGAGCTTAATGACCACTTAAAAAATGTCAGAAGAATGACTGGATTTTGGAAAATCGATTCATGATACTTGAGAAAGAGTAATTGAGTTTCTTTCTTTTATTTTTTTATTGTCATTGTTAGGCTACAAGAGCCTCAAACACTGGCAACATACAATGCCTCCTTGACCATTGTACTGTTCTTCATAAAACTAAACAGTATAACTTATACCTCAAGACCCACCTCAAATTCATTAAAAATGGTCAATATTTCTCTTATGTAGCGGTTGGAATAGAAATTATTTGATCTTCTTGTAAATTGCATGTTCTGTTTATCTCAATCTTATCCAAATTCAGGAAGGAGCATCATTGTAATTGAATTGCATATTCTTATAGCTTGCTCAATAAGTATTTATTGTATCCCTCATCAGTTTCTTCTCGCATCTTCTTGCAGATGCCGGAATATATAAATTCCTTTTTTTTTTTTTCAGGTTATGGACCAAATGCATTGGGAACTGTTATTGGCGAGCCACGAATGTCATTTATTATAATAACTATATTTATTTATACCCTAAAGCTATAATTGGTACTAACAAATGCAAGATCTATATTGAAATTACTTTAAAATGATTACATGTCTTGATAATTAAATGGATTTTGCCTATACAGTTATGCAATATATCACAATGAAAAGAAAAATGAAAAACAATTCACTAATATATCAAGAAATTAGATTAGAGCTCATAGGTCTCTGTACAGTCTCTTTGTTATGTGGGTACAAATGTTCCTATATACCCCACACCGATAATGAAGAAAGCCACTGCCTGTAGTAATAAGTAAATGAAAAAGTGGTTGTATCCAAATAGCATATTATAGATCGCACAATGAAGCAAGTACATCCCTACTAGGATCTCCAAGATGTGAATCCTGTTCATAACATGAACTTGCTTTAGTGTTGCTGATGATTTTGAGCATATCATGATAAAAAGAATTTTATTTATGTTGAGTGTCATTTGATATATTAAGCCTTCACATGAAATGAAAAGATTGTTGTGCATATAGACTATTACCTCTCTCTGATGCGCGATCGGGGCCTCTTGGATGCTCTTAAATTGGTCCTTTGCTTCATTGTGTTTCCTAATTTCTCGGTCACAACCCACTCATTTACTCGACTAGCCTCGAGTAGACCTATGATCGCTGCCTTCGATCTGTGTAGAGACATGACGTTCTCAAACAGTATCCAGAAGACGAGCAGATGCGTAGACCTGTGGACAAAGTAGGTGCAAACACTCCCAATCAGTTTCATAGCACAATTTTACGTGAAATTGAAAGCTAATGAATTTCATTTTCTCAGCTGGATATTCGTGCCTTAGAACCGAGAGCGCGTTGAGAATGGTGATGCATGCGGGAAGATATATAGCTAATGGCCTTGGAAGATTGACTTCTGGGACCAAGATTGTTGCTGGGATTATTATGCAATAAAAGAAAAAGGTAACCCAGTGTGCTATTATCTTCCGCACGAAAAAGAAAGCATATATTACATGCCATTTCTTCCATAGCGACACACGCTGCATCAAATAAGAAAGATATTGTGTGATTTTCATGATAAGTTCAAATTACAAAGCTGAGACGATAAATAAAATCTTACAATACATTTACCTCACACATGATAATTTCTTTAAACATTTTTCTGAAGAGGTTAGCAGGCCCGCATGACCAGCGGTGCTGTTGGTATCGGTATGCTTTGAATGTGCTTGGTAGCTCATTTTTAACCTGAGAGTGAGGTGATTGGGTTCTAGTTTTGTAAACTTTTTTCTGTCATATAACTTAGTTAGTGATTATATGAATTAGAGTTTCGAAACTGACCTCTAGGTCACCAACAAAAAGGAACTTCCAGCCCTTGAGGCTTGCTCTAACCGCCAGGTCCATGTCCTCCACTGTTGTCCTGTCTTTCCAGCCACCAGCATCATGCAGTGCTTTGATACGCCAAACCCCGGCAGTTCCTAAAATTTCAATAATTCTTAATCGTGTTATTCTTTGTTTGTATGTCTAAAATGAAGTCCTCTAAACTCGGGTATGAGTTGTTGACTATTGACAAACCGTTGAAGCCAAAGAATGAGCAAGTCGAGGAGCCAACTTCCTGCTCGACACCGAAGTGATAGTGAAGAGACATCTCTTGGAGTCGAGTCATCAAACATTCGTCGGCATTCACTGCAAAACTCAAAATCTCATTTAGTTATTTGAAAACAAGTTCTCAAACCATGTGAAGCTGTAATGTGTATCATCTTCTTCCTTTTCTTTATCCTTTCCTGTCTGTTTCATCGTTTTATCCGAAACCATCCAACTTCGTTGTTGTTAGATAATGATCTCTATGACTATTGAAGGTTTTTTTCCAATATTTGATAAACTTCTAGTGTTTTATGGGTTAGTTAACTCGGCCTTACCAAATTTCCACCTTGCCTGAACCAAGGCCAACTCTGGGTTTTCGAGTAGGTAAGGGATAGTCCTCCACAGGAAATCACCATCTGGCTGAAAATCAGCATCAAATATTACAACAAATTCGCAATCCTCGACATAATCCTTCCTTAGGCCTTCCTTAAGGGCACCGGCCTTATACCCATTCCTGTTGTTTCTTGTTTCATACTTGACATTAACTCCTTTTGCTATCCATTTGCGGCATTCCAATTCCACCAAGCGCTGCAATGTAAATTGTACGGTTTACTGATACAGTTATGTCTGACTTAGACAGTAAAACTATAATAATTCTTGGAGAAGAAAAGATACCCTTAGTTCTTCATTGGTGGAGTCATCGAGAACCTGCACGATAAGCCGATCTGATGGCCATGATAGGCTACATACTGCTCCAATGGATAGCTTATAAACCTAGGAAGCCATAAAGAAAAGGTTTTTGATTACTATCTAAATTGTGTACCTCAGATCTGAAGAGGCTTTTGTTTATACTCTGTACTTTTGAACCCCCCCTAAGTCTATTAAACATGAGATCTAACAGCACCTTAGTTCCATTTTTTATATGTATCCGTTAGATTAATTTCTTCTGCCCCATATTGTTATTTCCGATTTTTAACCTGCATGTGGTGAAGTGGTAGTACATTTTTGTTTTTTCAAATTACCACTGTAATGGTGTGAAATTTTTTTTACTGACTAGTAATTTCTTTATAATTTGCCATGAGGCCCATGACTGGTTTTCTACTTCTGGAATACAATTTCATGATTCAATCTTGTAAGTTTCCAGAAAATGTTCACTATAACTAGTGAGGTACCTTAATGAAGACAGTTTATTGTTTTTACCTCCTTCTCGTTAAACATAGGGATCTGAACTAACACCATGGGGTAGTTTCGGTTCATCTCAAGATCTTCCTTTATGGCGTCTAGCTGGTACTTGGTGTACTTTTTCTTCCTTAGGATTCTGACAAAGACAATCACAATTGCCATGTATACCCTTTCAAGGAAAAGCATGATGGACATGCCCAGACATAGATAAACCGCAAAGCGCAAAAGGGGGACGATTATTGGAACCCGAATAGAATCCCACATTTTACTGAGGCGTCTCACCGGATCATAGTTCTCGTAAATCTCCGGCTCTTGAAAAACAATGTTTCTCATGGTGAAAGTTTTGGGATTTTTTTCTATATGTGAGAGGAAGATAGAACACTGAAGGGAGCTTTGGTAGTGAAGGCAATTTGCAGAAAGTATTCGGTGATTCTTTTGGCAGTTCGAGATTCTGCTTTAAATAGGCACCTCAGGGGACATAGGTGCATGGGTGAGGATGCATTTTAGGCTTTAGATGGAGAAAATTTTAGAATATTTAGTATTCCTCTGAAAAACGGAATTCTTAGGCGCTTGACACATGGTTCGCATGCAAGTGAAGACACTGCAACGTAGCCCTTGTTAGCTGTATATTTGTCATTTTCCTGCCGATACTAAGGATGGAGACTTAAATTCTGGTCGATTTGATTAAAGGTTTTGGCGTCTTTTATTAATTAGTGGGGTCGGTCATTATGGGTGAGTGCTAGGTTAGAGGTCATCTGTGACGTGCGTTTCGGATTCACCTTCTAATGCCCTTCAAGGAGTAATTTTTTTTTTCGCACATTGATGAAGTTGCTTGTATAACTTGGATTCTCATTTTGTAGCATATCACCGATAGAGTTGTTAAATTAACTGAGGTGAAAAGATTTAGTTATTTACTATTGTCATAGCATTTATCAAGCGGTCGAGTATTAGTTACTGAATAGATTAAAGAGCTAATGATGGCGAAGAGAACATCATCTTAATTTTACTAGTGTTTACTTGTACTTGGGAAAGAAAAAGTTTGATAACAGGATGATGAGAGATTGACTTGAGGTGTTGATTTGTGTGCTAGATTCTCATAAATTATGTTATACTCTTAATTATTTCATAATTGAAATATCATAAAGCAACCCGGTAAGAACAAATCAAGAAAAAGGTCAATTTAGCTATTATATCTACGATACGATTGGTCCAGTTTTTGCAAAATTTTTGTTACCTTAACTGTTAAATTCCAGGATCTTGTTTTGATTCTTGCAGTTTATGTGCATAATTTGAGGCGCCAACTATGATCTCAGTCGAGTCTTTACCTAATAACCTTTATGCTAATCAAGCATTGTGCATGTGTCTCTCATTCATGGTACTGCCGTAACTTTAAGCATTTCCGATTAGGAAATAGCCCTACATATTTTGGAGGTTGTTTGTGGACATGTAGTTGCTTCATCTTGGGGTTTACAACATGCTATATTTATCAAAGCACCCTTTTTTCATTTAGCATTTCTGCAAGTACGAGTTTTCTTGGATCTGTGACATATGCAGGAATTTTTACCCGACTCGGATTCACAGTATGTGGGGTGAGGTTAAAAAGATGTTAGTGGGATTCTTTTAACCTGCCTTAGAATTGTTTTTACTGATCAGTAACACTCGTTTTTACTAAAATTGAAATAAGTCCGAGTGAAATTATTTGCTCATGTAATTTAACAAGTAAATATAATATAATGTTTGAAACCATATGACATTCTTGAGCTCGTCAAGAAATGATTTCACCAATAAAGCATTTGGTCCATCATCAAGTTCATTTTATCACGATATACGAAAGTAAGGTAAATGTCGGGACTCCACGAGCAGCTGTAAGTTTATTTCTAACCTCATATTATTATTATTATTATTATTCTTGAGTGCACAAAGCTTTGCTATAAAATCAGTTCACTGTCTCACTTGGGTTTCTCTTCACATAGTGTCCAAATACAACATTTGATGATACTTACCCACTTTTTGTTTTCCCTCTCTTTTTGCTGCAATTTTAGAAAAGCGCTCAAATGGTTCTACAGCATTGAGATTGATATTACGGTGTGGGTATGCCTATAAGATTGGGCCTTTTGGTAGGTATTAAGCCCAACATCTTAATGGGCCTTGAGTCTAGTTTCACATTCGGCCCAACGTATGGCCCATGAAAGAAAATTCTTCACGACAAATAGGAATTGCCTTTTGCTCTATTCTTTTCCCCCCTCGATTCTTACGTGAAAGTCAAATTCTTCATATCCAAAGGCAGCTCACTTGTGATCACAAGTCTTTGCAAATTCAAACCTATACCTAACAATTGACTACGATTTTTTATTTTTTATTTTTTTTTATTTATTTTTGTGTGTGTAAATACTTTTTTGAGTGGATTTTGTTATGTTGAATTTTGCAAAAGACTTTTATAACCGTCCTAATAAAACACACGTTTGAAAATAGACGAGATGACTTTTGTCTATTTGGCATTTTATTTTGTAATTTATTTATTTATTTATTTATTTATTGCGTCCAAATCCATGTTGTGCATAGCTGTTACAAATTTCAAAGGCCTAGAAATTATTTGCTCGAGCTACTTGACAACGCACGCAATCCTAAGCTGTTTGCATAATTTATTACTACTAATTATTAGTATTATTGTTATTGTTAATTAATGAACTTTAAAGTAAACTCAATTATAGAGGAAAGATTGTTTTGTACTATGCTACTTTTTCTATTTTTTTTTATTTGTTGTATATAGAAGTTTGGCTCCATTATGGAGCCAACTGTTGGATTACTGTAAGTATCCTTGGTTGGAGGATGTAAAATCTTCGGAATAATTTCGATCTTGCTGCAGTTATTTGCTTTTTCACCGTTGTGTGTGTGTTTTTAACTTGTACCCCTTCTTGAGAGTTGAAAGAATAATCTCAAAGTTGAACTTTGTGTTACTTAAGAATTGCGATTTTATTAGTAGTTTGTTGATATCCGAGTTAGTCAAAATGGAACCATACAAAGGTGACTCCTTAGAATCGGGTCTGGAATCCGGTCCGGTTCAGAAGTGCCGGGGTTGAATTCCGGAGATAAAATGAACACGACCATCATAGAAACAATTTATGAGACCGACACCCGAGACCGAAAACTTGTGGCGCAGGGCTCGCCGGATGCCGAGCTGAAAAAGGAATCCTGAGCACTTAAGGAACATATTCAGTAGAAGTGCCGACCTGAGGGTCCTGAGCGGTCACCTTGGAGGTAGGCGCGGGGTTCGGTGACATTAAAAATATTCCCACTTAGAAGATCATCATTGGACGATGGGACGAGATGTCATAGCTTGCTACCCTACAGCAAAGCTTGGTCAAAAAGTCTGTCAGCATTAAATGCCCTCCATGCTTGCATTAAATGTCTGACATACAATGATTGCAGAAACGTCAAATCGCATTAAATAACTGTCAGGGAGGCGCCGAACTACTCTACAGAATTACCGTGTGACAAGATTGGTGAACAATACCCAAATAGTACCTCATTTAAGGATACTATAAATAGCAGTTCACTTCATTTATGTTGGGTTGTTGAATCCTCAACTACTATGCATTTTCTCTACCTTCTCTCTCTAGAGACTTGTAATAAATTCCTGTAATAAATCAAACTCTATTGCAAGTGCCGATACGAGTGCCGACCTCGCAACTTCGTAATAAAACATAATTAATCCGTATTTACTCTTTGTATCCAGTCTTGTACTTTATTTAAATTTTATTTTAATCGTTGATCGGATCCGTCCATCAACATAATTTTTGTGCTAAAACTGAAAAAAATAAATAGATATGAAAAAACTCGTACACGTTACTTTCATGCAACCACCGACTCAATATTAACTTATTTCACAATTTATGCATGTCAAACACTTTAAATTATTTATCATAGAATAAATAACACAAACACAATGACATAAATTTTTATATAATTATTAGAAAATAAGTAACACAATGGATGACATAAATTTTTATATAGTAAGAAGTGTCGTAATTCTATTTTTAAAATCAACAAAGCTTTAAACATACGTGTAATTTTGTCATACCTTATTTATCCGAATACTAATAGAGTAGCGATCTTGTAGCTAAAAAAAAAATAAATAAAAATAAAAAATTATTTATATATAATTCTAATATAATAAATTGTTGGAAAATTCTACGGTCCGGTTGCGGAACCATTCCGATGAAGTTTATAACCGTTAGACCAACTATCAACGACGGTTATAACGATTACATGATGATCTAAAGTTACAAATCCCAACAAAATGGTTCCGTAACAAGTACGTGCCTGGTAGACCAAACAGTCATACTATATATATTCTACTAGTATACAACGTCCGTGTATTACACGGGTGCTTTCTAATTTTTTCTTAAATTCTAAAATTAATGAGAAAAAATAGTTGAAAATTTAAATACCTTTTATAAATATATATATTATTATATATTTAGTATGACACTTTTTGTGCAACTTACATATGTTATATTATAATAATTTTTTAACTTACAACATATAAATACATTAAGCATGAATATATCAATTGAGAAATAATTGTATTTTTCTATGAATTTTCATAAATATTATTATTTATTACTACCTCATGTTCATTATAAACGTCATTTTGAATCAAAAAAGTCAAAACGACATTTATAATGAATAAGAGGGAGTATTATTTTAAAATATAAATATAATTTATTTATTTCATATATACAATATGGATTTCAAATCGAAGATCATCAAAAGATGATTAATTTGATATATTATATATGTAAAACCGATACGAAATACAGAAGTTATTGACTTCTAAAATACTTTTATAATTCAATAGCTAATTGAAGGAAACAAATCAAAAGTCAGGAATATATTAGTCACTTAGTGACTCAGTATGTAAAATTACAAGAAATAAAGGGTTATATTAGTACAAGTGATATTAAAATATCTAAGTTAGCTAAATAATATTTATGGAATGTCCAAATCTAAATTATTAATTATTAATGTATCAATATTATTTGTCCAAACCTAATTACAAAACATGATTCTTTGCCAAGTAGGATTTCGAAGCACTACAAGCAGCCACGTAGGCTCAGCGGGGAATAATATATAGGGAGGATTATCCATAATAATATAAAGTGTAAAATAAAATAATATAAATTGCAAATATATAGCTGGCATTAATATATTATTATACTACTAATATTTACTCTTTAGACTTACGTAATCAGACAAAATTGTGGAAATGGTCAATGGGTTAATTGATTTTCTAAAGATTGCTAATTTTCATATTAATCAATCTTTGAAATAAAAAACATACTAATAATTACGGATTTCTGTCTAAACATTGGAGCAAGACAACCTAGCTAATAATAATTAACTCCTAAAGTCACATTTGCAAATATTGTATTAATTTTACAATGTAACTTTTGGACTCATTCTTAGCTGAAAGAATCTATGTACTTTTTATTTTATTTATTTAATTTTTCTATATATATATGTGTTTTTTTTTTCTACCTCTTTCTATAGTCTTTGTTTATGATTAAATTTGTCAAAAAGATTTAAGATTTTTTTAGTCTTCTTATCCAAGTGGGATTTTATTTTTTATTTTTATTTATTTTTTTACTTCTGGAATTTCCAGTCAAGCTTGCCTCACTCTAATATGGGTAAAAGATAAAATCTTCTTACAAACAGTCATTAGTGACGGCTCACTTTTAACTACTTATTTCCTAATTTTATACATGCATACAAATACTAATCATTGTACTATTTAATTTCTATATTTTTTTTTACCTCAAAAGTCAAAAGATAATTCAAAATATATTCTATGGAAACAGTAGTCATTGTACTAATGTCACGGTAAATTTTATTAATTACTTCATCATTATAAAAACTCGTGTATGAAAATTTGTTGAAAAATGCTAAGATTTCATTACGGAACCATTCCGTAGGATTTGTAACACGGGACCGTAACATCTTCTAAATTTATCATACACTTTATTGAAAAAATACGAAATTACGAATGCAATTTAGGGAAAAGATTTGATTAATTATTAGATTGGACTTTTAATTAGTTGAAGGTCGTAATCAGCTGCAGGCAGCTTTTACAGATTGTGAAAAATTATTATGTTTGCGTGAATATTACTCATTTTTTCACCCATTTTTTTTTATTTTTTACTTTTTTATTTTCAAATTTTTCTGTTGTAAGTAAAAAATCTTCATTGATCTTTGGACAAGGACAACAAATCAATTTTGGATTCATTGCATCACAATCATTTAACAGCGTACACTATATAAAAAAAAAAAATACAAATATTTTGAAATCAACAAAATATTATACTACTATTATATATCATATCAAAGTAATTGTAAAATAAATAAATAATAAATAAAAATAAATAAATAAACCATACATTATTATGTTCTTATCTGGTCGAATAAAAAAAAAAAAAAAATTGGAAATAACAACAATTATTAAATACTGTACAATGCATTAATTTACTAATCAAAGTTTTCAGCGTTTTCTCGAATTCAGGGAGAGATAGAAATTAAATTAAACTAAAATAAAAAACGTTATTTTCATCAAAAGCCCCTCAAAACCACGCTAATTACCTAAACCCCCCCTCCTCAATTTCCCTCGGCCTTGATAATCTCGTCCACGAAGAAGCTCGCAGGATTAGCGCAAACGGGATTAGCGCTGATAAGCTGCTTAATCTCCTCAATCCCGCTGTAATCCAGCGGATTATCCCCAAAACCGTATCCTTCATTCACAGCCGTCGATGAAGAATTGCATCCGTACAAGAACTTCCCATTACTCTCGTACAAATCTTGATGATCCCCGCCGAATATAAGGAGGCTGTTTTTCTCGTCGTAGCTATCACGGGCCGGGCCAGAAAACCCGTCCGGGCCGAATGGATTTGGCGTGATTGGGGTGGTGATCAAATTGGGTGACACGGGCTCGTAAATAGTGGAAAAGGGACTGTAGGGATTGGGAGGGATTATCAGTGAAGGTTCTTGGAGGAGGGAGGTATTGGGTGGTGTGGGGTGCACAGTAGCAAGGTGAGCCCTCCTATGGTATTGGTTGATAGGGAGAACAGTGGTGGCTGTGGCCATGAGCTTTTTTTTTAGCTTTGTGTTCCAATAGTTTTTAATGTCATTGTCTGTTCTTCCTGGCAATTGAGCTGCTATTATTGACCACCTGCATTAATTTAATTAATATTTGTTTATTTATTTTTTTTATTTTTTTAATTTAAAAAAAAAATTGATTTAATGGAAAAAAAATTGGGGGGAAATTAAAATAAATATTTCATGGGGGCCATGATGAAATTAATGTAAGTTTGACTATAATTGGATTAGATTAAAACATTCATGTGAGTATGTTAATCTAAAGGTGTTATTAACCTAAATAATTTAGTGATAATTAGGAGTAATTAAACTGTTCTATATATACTTCAAATTTCAAAATAGAGAAATCATATTAAATAATTGATTTTGCAAATTTTTGTTTTAAAAAAAAAAATTATATAGATGGTGATTAATAATGCACCCTCAAAATGTATACATACAACTACATTATTAAGTTTCTAATTATTTCTCAATCTTCTCTCCCTTGTGTGAATATTGAAGATAAGATCATAATTGATTTAATTATTAAAATTTAAATGCAAATTTTTATTTTTATAATTGTTAGAACCGAAAACAATTATCCCCGATTCCCTAGCTCTTTAAATCATAATTGATTTAATAATTAAATTTTAAATTTAATTATTAAAATTTAAATTAAAATTTTAATAAAAATTTGAATTTAATTTAAAAATGTTGGAACTTAATTAATTTGAATAACCTGCTACCAATGCTAGCAAAGAGACTGCAAATAATCCTATCCTCATCATCTGAAAATTCTCCATGCTTGATATTTGGTCTCAAATAATTCAACCATCTCAGCCTGCAGCTTTTTCCACACCTCCTCAAACCTATAATAATTTATTAATTAAAAAAAAAAAATTAACCAAACAAAAATAAATAGATAAAAAAAAAATAAATTAGAAGTAATATATAATGATTTTTGTATCATCAAAATGAATGAAATTCCAAAAATACATAGAAAAACATACCAACTTTGTGTGGAAGAGCAATCCAATTTCCACCAGTGCCATTTTTCTCTATATATTCCTTGAGCTTAGCATCTTCTTCAGGTGACCATGGACCTTTTTTCACCTTGCTCTTGTCACAACATGGAGCCCTTCCCATCTCTCTCTCTCTCTCACTCTCACTTTGTGTGTGTTGTGTGTGTGTGTGTGTGTGTGTGTGTGTGTGTGTGTGTGTGTGTGTGTTTTGGATCTTTGATTTTTTTTTATTTATTTTTTTTTTCACCCTTGGAGAAAAGTTTTGATGCTTTGTAAGAGTTGGCTGTTTTTTTGTTTGTTTTAGAAGACTTGTTCTTTGTACAGCAAGGTATTATATGTAATATATGTATGTATATATATATAGCATTGATTATTACTTTCTTTTTTTTTATTTTTTAAAAAAGTTCCTTTTGGTAGTGTCAATATGAACTAGTGTAAATGGTTTATTTGAGCATATATATTATATATATATATATATATATGAATATTTTAATATTAGAATATCATATTTTACAAAACAACATATAAACATTAATATTTCATAGTATAAATAAATAAGAATAATTATTATTTTTTTTAGTTATAACGGATTGACTTGTTGAACAGTTACATAAACATTCTGATCATATAAGAATTCGTGAATTTGGAAGTTTTTTTTGTTGCAATATTGTTCTCACTGCGACAAAATTTCCATCGAGACATTTCAATGAAAATATATTATTTTCTAATGGAATAATTCTAACGATAATTCAAATGGATATTAAAATGTTGTTATTTTTGTTAGAATTTTATCCGATTGGGTCCAATGGAAATTCCAACAAAAATATTTTGTTGGAATGAATTTTTCATTGAAATTTTTGTTGGATTTTAAGGATTCAAACGAAATTTTGCAACGGTTGAAATGTGGGTGAAAAATAAAATTTCAAACGAAAATTGCATATTCGTTCGGTAAAATACCGTTGCAAAAATAGTCGTTCGGATTTCTGTATTTCTAGTTATGTTAAAGCTAATTAAACTGCATTAGTTTTGTGCTATATATAAACATCATTAGGGATAAAAAAAATAGACAGCAATTATTGGATACAATATTTTGTCTCAGTAAACCATTTTGTTCCACTTGGCTAATCATGCAGGATTATTTATCTGCCTATATATATATATATATAATATATATGTATAATTATTATAATGAGAGATACACAAGTCAAGTCAAAGTTGGATTCACTCTAATTTCAATAATTTGCTGTCTAATCCTCTTTAAGTGGCACTAAATTAATCCTCTGTTATAGTGTAATTAACTTAATTTGATTTGTTGGTCTCTCTAATCTAGCAACCTAAGCCTACCCAAACAATGGCATATATATATATATAGTACAATTTAAATCTGAATATTAATGAATTAATTAATTAGGTCACCAATTGGAGTTTTATAATTACCATTATTAGAATTAATTTTATATAGCCCCGCTCACCTGTCCACCGTGGGCAGGGGATCAAAATTTTAATTTTATAGACTTGATTTAGTTAGTTAACCAAACTATTTAGTTTGCAAATACTTAAGGGAAGTGAGTAGTTATTCCTCTTATATTTAATTGGGAAATAAAATAACACTTTTTTAGTTTGTGAGGAAGTTATAAATGTAATTTTTAACTACAAAATTGCAAACTAAATTGCAAAAATATATATGGAACAAAATATAGGAAAGTTATACAATATATTTTTATAACAGAAAAGGCAAAATAACAATTAAATATATAGCAAACATTTTGTCTAATATTGCTTGATAAATAGCAAAGGTTAATTTTGAGGCATTAAATAATAAAATCTTGCTTTAATTAGTGTCATCTCTCATATAAAACTTATAACTGCCAACCAATTGCAGATTATATTATAAATTAAATTAAATTAACACCTTAAATAACAAACACACATATATAAACTAAAAAAAAAAAAAAAAAAATAGGCATGGACTTTGTCCAAAAGTCCCAAACTGCAAAGTGCGAGGAAAATCAAAGGGTGACGAGTGCAAATCATTTATTTGCATCAAGGCCCTCAGCACACTTGTTGCATGAGTGCATGTACACACATCTGACAACACACATATATATATATATATATATATACATATATATATTTCATAAGTTAATATAAATAAAATTTGATTATCTAGAATTTATTAATTGTTTCATGGAAATTATGGAACTCAACAAGAGTGAGTTAGATATATATACTTTACTAGCTATATATTTGGTTCAAAAATTCATCTATGATATAATTAATATGGATAAATAAATCAAAAGGAAGTTTAAATGCCAAAGCTAAGCCCATTAAATTTTGAGGGCTCAAATTAGTAAAAAAAATCACATTACCAACAATATTCTATATATGTAGTTATGAGAGGTGTAAACGAGCCGAAGCTCGAGCTTAGGCTCGTGCAGACTAAACGAGTCAATAAAACAGTTCGAGTTCTGCTCGTTTATCAACATTAATGTATTGAACTCGAGCCTAAATAAGCCGACTTATAGTAAAAGTTCAAAAGGCTACATAAAAATAATATTCCCGAATTTCAACGAGTTGAATCAAGTCGAACTTGAGCCTTAACGAATTCAGTCGAACCGTGCTTCCGACCTCACTCGTGGCTCGTTTTGTTTAGCAAATTTAGTGTAATTGAACGAAAGAATGTAGTGTATAAAACAAAATTTCAAAATATTATGTGTAAATTATTCATAGTATTTTGTTTGGAAGTACCACATCATTTTTTATTTTTTTATTTTGTTCTCTATAATTACGTACTTAAACAAGACGATTTCATTTAATTATTTTTTTAAAGAAAGAATAAAAAGAAAAAAAGCAGCATATCTAATGGTCAATTAAATCTTTACAGTTAATATATATATATGTATTGTTATTTAGACCTTAATTCAGTAGGTAAAAAAGAAAGATTTCTAAAAATTGAAGTCCAAAACAAATATTAAGTAAAATTTTGACTAATATAATTACGTGGTGAATTAAATTAATATATATAATTGTCCCTAATTGCTGCAGGTCTTCAATTCTTAATAGTATTATCGATCATTCAGCATCTCGTGCTTTCACATTGCAAATAAATATATATAAGTATTTAATTCACTTTTTATATTTTATTTTCATAAAATAATTAGACCAATGAACTGTAAAGTCTCCCATTTTAATACCTTAATTAAATAAATAATGACGACGTACTATCTCGTCATGATTTGTGTATGATCTGACCCATTATGAGACGAATTACATTGCGCAAAATAATAATAATAATAATAATAATAATAATAATAATAATAATAATAATAATAATAATAATAATAATAATAATAATAATAGGAATTAAGAATTAATTAAACCTGATAAAAATACTAGGAAAGGGGAAAAATAATAATAAGGATGAAAAAAAATATATAGATCGAGCTAAGTTTTTCAAATGTTGTATCATTAATTTCTGTGTATTTGTTTGCTAATCTTTTATAATCGTTTTGCATTTACTATATTTTTTAAAAGACTTTTAAGAAAATACTAAATTTCAAAATTAAATTATACATATATCTTTAATAAACGAGTTATAGACTAAAAAGTAATGTAATTTGGTAAATGAATATAAAAATAAAGCACAAATCAATCATTCCTAAAAGTTGGTAGTTATAAAAATTTAAATAAACTGTAAAAGTAAATGTTAGTTATTTATTAGTAAAAATTTTGATCCTCTGCCTACGGTGGGCAGTGCCCACCACTTTGTTTTATATGAAAAACGTATTCTGAGAATACGTTTTTCAATTAATTTAATTGAAAAACGTATTCTCAGAATACGTTTTTCATATAAAACAAAGTGGTGTTAATTGAAAATTGTATTCTCAGAATACATTTTTCATATAAAACAAAGTGGTGGGCACTGCCCACCGTAGGCAGGTGAGCGGGACTATTATTAGTAATTATGTATTGTAGGGTTAGGTTAAATTAAGGGTCAATATAAGCCCATCTTTTGTCTTATATACATGTACATAACTTTTAATAAATCAAAAATTTTTAGTAATTATGTATTGTAGGGTTAGGTTAAATTAAGGGTCAATATAAGCCCATCTTTTGTCTTATATACATGTACGTAACTTTTAATAAATCAAAAATTTTTCTCACGTTATCAGATTAAGTTTAGAGTCCAATATAGGCTTAGTCTTTTTTCGCTCCCTTCGTCAACTCTCACCTCCCATGGAGGCCCGCATGGCGATGGGGGCCTGACGGGCCAGAAGATTATTATTGATATGTATGGTGGGTGGGGGGCCCACGGAGTGGAAGCGTTTTCGGGGAAGGACCCGACTAAGGTGGATAGGACCGGAGCTTATATTGTGAGGCAAGCATCGAAGAGTGTTGTGGCGTCGGGCCTGGCCTGAAGGTGTATTGTGCAGGTCTCGTACGCGATTGGGGTGGCTGATCCGTTGTCGGTTTTTTAGGATACGTATAAGACGGGCACAACTCACGAGTAGGATCAAATTTACAAGAACCTTTGTAATACAACCTTTCAAAAATGCTCTTAACTTTGACAAATAAATGAGAAAATACATCTTGAAATACAATTAGAATCCAACAAATTACATCATATCCTCAAAAACTTCATTATAAAATACGTTTCGGTTCCACATTAAATCTAAATTACCAATCACATTCATCAATGTCCATTAGATTAATGAAGGCATATGCATTATGCAGAGGTTAAAGCTTTAACCAAATCAAAACACGAATTCCTGTAATTTCCCAAAAACCGAGGGACCGACTTGTAATTACCCGGCCCAACCTCAAAATCGATACTTTAGTGAAGTGCAGATACTGCTACTTGTGGATGAAACCTCCTGCAGAATGCTTCTTCAGCTGCTCTTAGCCTTTCGTTATCCTGCAAACCGTGCCATTTTATTTATTTTGCAAACTAAATTGAAAATCTTGATTAATCAATTGGATATTTTTTTAAAATATCAATTTCTGAAGCTAAATTATCAAAAAAACTCTATTTACTTAGAAACTCGATTTTCCAAAGCGAAAGACCTTACCTTTCCTTGAAACGAGACGATTAGAGGGCCTCCCCTGGATTCACGATAAGCTCCTTCACATTACATGGAAGAAAAAAAGTTGTTTTAACACGAAACGGAGAATAATGTACAGACAAAGTGATATCTATTCGAAACAAAAAATCTTACCTATGTAGAGATCTGGAAATTTATTACATATTTCTGAAAGTGGCTGGGCAATTTCCACCTATATTGAAAAAAATAATTAGACATGAACATTATAATAGATACAGAGTAACTAGAAAAAAAAAAATAGTTCTAGTGTTGGCAAATCGGCTAGCATTTGATGCAAAAAAACGAAATTATTTTTAGTTTTTTCTTTATTTTCTCTATCTTTTTTCCCCTTATTGTAAACAAAATCCTGGAAGTCATTTGGACAGTTATTGCAAACCATTTACATAATAATAATAATGCCCTCAAGATCATATTCGAAAAAACTTAGAAGCAAATGAATAATAAACATTAGAAATGGAGATTCATGGATCCTCACATCTGAAAGAGATATTGCCACTCTCTTCGAACAAAAAGGTTCTGAAATTACAAAAGGCCAGTCGGGGCTCATCAACTCCGTCAAGCATTTCCATTCGTTTTCCAGCTCAGCAGCATTTGTTGCGGTTAGAATTATGACATTTCGGCACTTGATCTGCAAAAACCGACCAAAAAAGAACAAAATTATTTATTTTTCCAAATATGTTAAAAATACATAACAAGAAGGGATTTAACTTACTAACGGCACACTCAATTTCTCGTGATGCAACAACTCTGTGATGCCTTCGGGCAACTGAGCCATCTGTAACAGGAAAATATCAAAATACACAATTGATATCAAAATCTGGCGAAAAATGAGTTCATATACCAATGATGAGATAATATCAAACAATTTTGTTCGTCAATTTTGTACGTGAATCTAACAGATAAATCATGAATATCATATTTGTATTGTATCTACATTACCTCATTCCTATCTCCAGTGCACTTTTCCTCAATGAGATGCCTCAAATATTCTTCGAACTCTTCATCGAGGGCCTTCAATAAAAAGAATAATATACAATAAATGTGGTGAAGGTAAAACTTAAAGCCATCTAATTTTCTTTTCTTTACAAGAAAATTAATTAGATAAAAAGCTATAAATTCATAAATTAAAAACGAGTTACAGATATTGGTCATGGATAAGATTTTTACCGTTCGAACACCAAATGCTTTAGCGACGCCAGCTAAAGTGACATCAGAAGGCAATGGGCCAACTCCTCCATATATGAATACCTACAATAATCAGCCTCAAGCTTTCATTGCCATTTTTTACAATTCGAAATCTTATCTTACAACAAATTAAAACTCGTAAACTTATTATAGATTGCAAAAGCTTACCACATCATTAGTAAGCTTCTGTTGCTCGACTTCATCTGCAACAGAGTCAACCTGAAAAAAAAAAAAGGCAATTCTAAATATATATCACAAAAGCAAAGATTTAATAACCAAAAATTAGTTTGCAGATATTAAGATTTAATGTCCAAATTCACTAACACTTACATCATTTCTTGTAACAGAAACATGCGAAACGGCCCAGCCTACGGAGTGGAGCTTTTTGCGAAGAACGAATCCCATCCGATCCTCAACAGTGCCAAACCTGAGCTAT